GTGCTTATTTCGCTGACTGGAAAATGCACTAAATTAAAATCCAGTGAATATGTAAAATTTAGCATAGAACACATTATCTAAATGATAAAACATATGCCTGAAATGCTAAATCAGCAAAATTTAAACCCAGTGAAAATTAATCATTTTATAGTATTCTATCCTGTATAGGAATGCAATTAAACTCAAGATAGTAGAAATAACATCATGCAAATTAAGGAAGAGACGATGTTGGGGGGAATCTGCTCACCAACCTTGTGCCGAAGTAACTTGGGGATTCAGTAGCATGCTCCCCCTTAAATTTGGAAATCTAGACCCTCTGAAACGCTATTTCCTGCATTTTGAGGGTCAAATTTTGCTGATACAAAGGCAGTGACTAGGGGGGTTCTTGGGGTCCGAAAAATGTATTCAATTTGTTTTTTGTATAATACATGTATAAACAAATCATTAACTTAGTCTGGCGATTTTAAAGTTTGGACCCACACCCCCATAAAAAAAATTCTGTATCTGTCCCTACAAGTGTTTCAAATTCACACTAATTAAAAATTAATGTTATGTTAGATGCAACCTTCATGTGGTCATCATTTGACTGCCAAGTACCGTAAATATTTCCTTCATTGAAGATTCAAATGAGTACTGTGAAGAAATTAAAAAGTGGTACCACAATTTGTTTTCTTGAGAAACTTAACAGCGATTTTGAATAACATTTTTTCTTTTAAAAGTCTATTTTTGCATTTTCATTAGAATGCTTTGTTTGTGTCTTTTTAGAAACAGATAATGAAACCTTAGGAATGTATAGTAAATTTCACTGACCAGGTATTGTTTATATATGGTATGCCACATCTACAATCTCTGAAAAATTATGAGTGTCTTGAGTACATGTATCGTATTTTTGTGGAAAAATTAAGTCATTTGAAGAACACAGCAACAATGTATTACCGGTATTTGATGATAACAAGGGGGGGGGGGGGACCAGAAAAACAAATTAAGAACAAACAGGCAACTAAAAAGAAATGTCTCATTTGAAAAGTATTTGGAAATTATAAAAAACCCTCATCATAGGTCAGCCTTAACGAAACTTAGGTTAAGTGCCCACAATCTCCACATTGAAACTGGCAGATATACTAATAAAGATGTGACTGACAGAAAATGCCAAATCTGTCAAAACAGTTAAATTAAAGATGAGAAACACTTTCTATTTCAATGTAGTCATTACACTGAATTAAGGAACACATTTTTTAACAAATTTAACATTGTTCCTAATATCTGTTCAGCAGAACAAATTATTAAAAAGTACACATCAGGGAACCATTATTGAACTTGGTCAACTTATCTACAGTTGTTTTCAAACGAGAGAACAAGGTTTGAATACCCCGGTAAGTAAATTCACTAGCTGTCTCATATCAGAACCATCAAAAAAAATAAATAAATAAATAAAGAACATTTTATTGTAATATTACCATCTATGCAATGTACTTTAATATTTTACTTTTGTCTCAACTGAATTTTCGGTTTTTACTTTTTTATTATCATAATTTTATTCTTTATTGTAATTTTATCTATATCTCAACAGAGATTTGATAACAATAAAGTTATTACTTAAGTTACTACTAACTTGATTGATCATTTTGATGTCAGAGTTAAAACAAACTTAAGATATATACTGATTTGCATATCAATAGATGAATAATGAAGTTACTGCATTGTTTTCTTAAATGGTCATGAAATCTTCTGTGACCAATGTTTTGACGTCCAGTAAACTGCAGATGACAGGTACAAGCATCTAAGCATATATGACTGTGTGAATTTATTAATTATTTAAAATATATGCAAATTTAGTCATCACAACAATGTAAATTGGTAATTTTGACCACTGTTTTAAGTATGTTCTATTTATGATAGAGCTCTAAAATTTTCATAGAATAATATACCTATGGATGCACCCCAGGCGCTGGCGG